ACCTATGTGACCTGCCGTTGCGCTGGTGCTTTAAAGCTTCAGAAGATTGTCAGAGGGATGTCTGGAGCTGAAAATTCACGATGGGGTTAGAATGGACCTTCCATCATGGCGACCAGGGGAAGCAACGCATTTGGGTTTCAAGTCTTGGGGAGCTCCAGCTGGAACTGCAGAAAGGCCATATTTTCGGTGTGCCTCAGCAGCATACAGCTCTCAAGATCGTGATGCAGGGCTTGGGCTTTTTGGGCTTTGGCGGCACCCGGCCTTCAAAGCTCAACCAGCCGCCTGGGCCAATTTGGGTCTCCCCTTTGATCAGCCTGGGCCAGCCCGAAAAATCCCCGCATCCGCACAAGAACGGACTGCTACGGGTGATGATCTCATGCCAATCTGCTCCAGTGACCTGGAATGTCTACCCTTGAACTGTGACAGTGGATTGATTTAAGGGAACTTAACAGGATATTATGATTGTTTATCTGTTTTTTGATCATCAAATGTAGGGTGCCCATGTTAAGGTGCCCAGGTTTCCGAAGGTTTCCGAATGTCCTGGATGTGGCCATGGCTTGTGGTTCAGCACGCTTCATCCACGCAGCTTTCAGCGTCGGGACATCGAATGCAGATCAGCAGGGCACAGGGTCCACAGGGCACAGCTATGGGGCCACGAGATCCGTGATGTCCAGATTTCAGTTTCATACTATGGGGGTTCTATGGGGGTTCCAGAATGCTTCCATGCAACAAAAAACAACATGCTTTCGAGGAGCAGGAAACGCTGCTGCAATGTACAAGTTCCAACAAGCAAGCATCTTCGTCGATACTTCTAGAAAAACAAGAGGGGTTGTGCTAGAAGTTCTAGATGCTTCTTGTCGTTTTTTTCCTCACGAATTGCTTTCATTTATCAAGCGTTTTGTGGAAATTCCCGTTTCTCCAGGAAACTTCCGGTGTTCCAAGTTCGGCACATTACCGGTGACAAGTTCGGCCCGGGGCTCAAGGCTTGGAGGGCTTTGTCTGGTGATTCTCGGCGGTTGTCTGGTGACCTATCTCCCATAAAGCTGACACATAGGTGACACATAAAGGTTGGTCGAAGCCCGACTCAGTTTGGTGAGTCTTTAACTTGCTAGCAAACACTTTGCCACCAGGCAGTAGTCAAGGACATAGTCTGCAGACACCCCGGCCAAACACGGAAAAGGTTAGTCTGTGGACCTTCTATCAAAATTTAGAGCTCGGCCACAGCATAATTTTTGTTCGGTGCATGGCAAAGTCGCATTGTAAGTGTGTCTGCCATGGATCAAATCACAAGATGCATGTTGGATTGCTTCACATCACTTTGGGCACGGCCACTGAATGGACTTGACCATTTGGCCAAAGACACGGCACATCGTGGAAGCTATTTCCACCAAGTGATAGTTCCACTCTTTTCAAACGTGAACTTGAGGCACTAAGTCATTAGATACCTGAAGCTTAGCCAAGGGCAGAATATGCAAACACCAGGCCAAACACGGGAAACTTTAGTCTGCAGACCTTCTAGGAGAGCTCAGGCACAGCCTAATTTTTGTCAGCTGCATGGCAAAGTCACATTTTGAGTGTGTATGGCATGGATCAAGTTGACAAGATGCAGATTTGCTTCACATCACTTTGGACGCAGTGAATGAACGGACTTGACCATTCTACATCGAGGTAGCTATTTACCCACTCACTACTAACTAAACATGTTTTGGAAGTCATGGTTCAACTCTTTCCAGCAATAAATTTATGGCACGACGCATGATTCAGTGCTTGCAACTTAGCTGCAAACACAGGGGCCAAACACGGAAAAGGTTAGTCTGTGGACCTTCTATCAAAATTTAGAGCTCGGCCACAGCATAATTTTTGTTCGGTGCATGGCAAAGTCGCATCATAAGTGTGTCTGCCATGGATCAAATCACAAGATGCATGTTGGATTGCTTCACATCACTTTGGGCACGGCCACTGAATGGACTTGACCATTTGGCCAAAGACACGGTACATCGTGGAAGCTATTTCCACCAAGTGATAGTTCCACTCTTTTCAACCGTGAATTTGAGGCACTAAGTCATTAGATACCTGAAGCTTAGCCAAGCGCAGAATATGCAAACACCAGGCCAAACACGGGAAACTTTAGTCTGCAGACCTTCTATCCAAATTTAGAGCTCGGCCACTTTCTTAGCTGCATGGCGAAGTCGTGCGGCATGGATCAAGTTGACAAGATGCAGGGTGCAGTGAATAAATGGGTTTGACCATTCTTGGCCAAAGACACGGTACATCATGGCAGCCCTGTTCCCACTGGCCACTCAGCAAACACAGGAGCGCGTTTGCAGCAATTTGACTTGAGAGTCTTTGTTTAGATCCATTCTTTTTCCTTTCAGCATCATCGCGTGTTTGTTGTTGCAAGCTGTGCGGTACAGCTGCTTTCATGAACTTTTACCCATGCCTGGACTGGGGGCTTCAAGCTGAAGTCATCCAAGAAATCATCGCATACCCAGGCCGAATCATCCAAACACACCATCCGACACAAGGCAACCGTCTGGTGCTTCAGGGCTTCAAGCATTGAGCATCCATTGAGCACCCATTGAGCACCCATTGTGACTGTGAATCTATTTGGGTGCACAAACCTCTCAAAAAAATGACCCAAAGGGCACAAGTCTTTGCAATGCTTTAGGCGTGGCAGCGCTGAGGAACCACATTTCGTCAAGTCCACAGCCGTCACACGATGCGTATCAAGTGGTCACAAGCATCTGGCAGTGTGAAAGTCGCCAAAGTTTGTGCAAATCTCCCAGAAAACCCAGATTTTCTGGGCCGAGAATGCATCACAAGATGGTCATTTTTCACTTCACCAATCTGGCATCCGGAAACATCCACTTTTTTCCATGGAAAAACTCCACCTTGGAATCACCGATGGTCCGTGGGTTCCGTGGGCCAGTCTTAAGGTGTCAGGGGCACGTTTGTGCAGTCGGACGGCTGCATGGGACCGGTGTCAACCAATCCACTCCATCTCGAAGTACTCGCAGAAGCTGTCGTTCAACGTGCCTCGATGGGTTCCCAGCTCAGGCCATGAAGTCTCACGACAGCCTCACAGGGCTGAAACATGGCCAAAAAAACATCTGGGATGGTGAACATGTTGTGAATTCTGGGGTGATTTGGTTGGAAATTGTAAAACGTGGCAAGTTTCACTATGAAATCCATCGTTTTTTGGCCATCTTTGCTCAAAATTCCACGTATGAAACCTCCATGGAGCCTTCGCTTCAGGAGCAAGGCCACAAGAGGCGCTTCCGACACCGGGCCAAAGGAGGCCTCATAACAAGAGTGGCAGTGTTTCACCAGGCGATTCCTATGATTGTCGCAATCCCCAGTTGCTTGTGTGACATGCTGAGCTTCAGCGGGTTCCACTGAGTGGCCATGGCCCATGCTTCGCTAGGCTTATGGATAGGATATGACACTGTGAAACAACCATGTTGCTGGAGACCGGCAACAAAAAGTTTGACCATGACATGCTCAAAGAACTTGGTTTGTGGCTTTGTGGATGATCGTCCTCCCATAGTTTTTGTCAAAACATGGTATCTGGGTCATGTCATCCCACCGTGATTCTGTGACCACCTTCCAATGGAAGGCTATCTCATCCAACTCCAATGGATAAAACCCTCTTTGTGTTCATCGAAAATACCCCTATCCATCCCCCATGAAATACTGGTGGTATATGTCTTTTGTATATGTCCCAACGATTTTTGATCCATCAACAAGGCGGCATCATTCCCATCACCTTATTCGTTTCATGACAAGATTCCGGATTCAGGATCATAGGGTCATCCAGGGCTGAATCTCCTCGGAATTTAAGGACAAAAAAATTGGATGAAAAAACCCTCTGGTTATTTGTCATAGATAGCTATGGAAGCCATGGCCCATAGCAATGATGAAAATGATGATGACTACCGTTCTTGGAAAAAAATGGTGACTCTCCAGTTCGCATAGCGTAACAAATTACCAGAGTGTATCCATCATATATCCCATTAAATCCCATTAAACCCCATGAAAAATCCCATGAAAAATCCCATGAAATCTCCAGGAAATCCCAGATGATAAAAAAACCAAAACTGAACCGAATCTGCAGTTCCCATGACAGAAGGCAGTTCCCGTGATTGAAAAAATATTGGGTGTTCCTTGGAGATGGGAATATCGATGGGATAATAGTGACTGGTTGGTGGTTGACCTATTGACCGTCAACCCCTCTGAAAAATGATGGAGTGAGTAACAGTTGGGATGATTATTCCATTCAACTGAATGGGATTTTTTTCTGGTGAAGCCAATGCCATAGCGTTTACCACTTGATCATTGGAAAAGGCACCCATAAAAATGGTGACATTGGAGATGGTTTATAATTGGCTTGACCACATGACCCAATTTTTTTGTGGGTGTCACAAGGGGATTCCACCCATTCACCCATTCACACCTCGTTCAATGCAGTCAGGTCACACGGTCGGTGAAGCTCGGCTATTCCGCCAAGTGCGGAATGCCTGCTTTGGAGCCCAAAATCCCTGCAGGACACCTAGCATCGAGCAGGTCATGTCCATCATGTCCAGGCCCCAGGCCATTGCATTGGATGATTGACCAGTAGATTTGGGGTATACCCTCTGGTAAACGTTTACATAACTATGGAAAATCACCATTCTTAATGGGTAAATCAACTATTTCTATGGCCATTTTCAATAGCTATGTAACAAATTACCAGAGGGTATCAATTTTTTGGACAAAGCGATTCTGATTGAAGTCATACATGAACGAAATCAACTGCCGTTGTGCTGGCTGTTCTATTCCATTGCCCCTGAATGGGCAACAGCTCCAATCCTGATGTTGAAAGTCCACATGGGACATGAATCCCATCTGATAAAATTCTGTATTCTATCAATCCCACTGTTTGGTGGTCAAGTTATATCCCATCAACTCCCTGATAAACTCGTTTGGGTCACATCGAATTGGAGGTTACGGACGCTCGTGAATACTCTGAAATATTTCCTCGGCAAAAGGGTCAGCATCCAGAAAAAACGGCCGCGTTTGCGGACGCATTGGACGCAAAACGAAAAGGCAGAATGCGTCGCTCTGTTGCCAAACGCCAAAAAAAAAGTTGCATCTCAAACTGCAACTGTTTGGAAACACGGAAGCACATTGTAATGTCCATTGGCTTCAGCCAGGAATTCGCAGCTTTCGCCGCGGTCGTTGACTTGAGGATACGCCCCGTAGCTCATCAGCAACTCCACAAGTTCTTCGCTTCCGATGCCCGCAGCCGCCAACAAAGGTGTGGATCCGGGTAGAGTTGCAGCAGAACGTGTCTGCGGTGTGCACGTCTCGCGACCCAACAGGGCAACCTGAGAGTTACCCTCTGGTGAACCTACAAAAAGCAATGGAAAATGGCCCAATCGAAATAGTGGATTTTCCCATGAAAAATGACCATTTTCCATAGCTATGTTAGTTCACCAGAGGGTATCCAAATTGGATATGGCAACCCCCAACAACCATAGTATTGTGGATGTCATGGGACCATCGCCTTGGAAAATCCATGGAATATGAATGGTAATTACTACCAGAATCTGAACGTCTAAAGAACACGAAATGGGGATGTTAACCACCCATAAATTTTCGGAATATCATGGGGCCATTACCGGGCATTTCTGCGATATATCACCAACATGAACGATAAATACGATAATCGTAATGATCATAAGAATGATATGGAAAAATGGGTACTTAAGTCCCAGATCGTTGTTATATGGATATCTCAGTTGTAATTATCATGATAATCTGGGGAATGATATCATATATAATAACAAATAATAAATGATAATAACTTAGATCACTCAGTTCTACTATCGGATAACCAGTGGATAACCCAGGAATCGCTGACAGAAACCCTGCCTTCACTCGGCCCACTGCCACCAGGGACAACCAGATGCTCCCACTTTGCCTGTGACGCCCAGCTTTAACGAGGTTTAACGCAAATTTTTGTAACTCCATTAAAAATAAAGGGATAGAAGATGCTATTAGATTACCATGTGTTAAGTAGAAAATGTGGAGCTACTCCAACATCTGACTAAATATGTGATTGAAGTGTTGTTGCATTGCTGTTTTTAGTGGATTTCATTGGTTTATTTATCACACCAAAACGGCAAAACAAACTAGTGGTGCTATAATTACTTCCATTTGGTGGTTACATGTTCCTGTGGATCAAACATAAATTGGATGGTGAAACACGACATAGATGCAACACGATAATTTTTTTAAAAAAAAACTTGTTAATTTCCTGCTATGTTCCTCATGTTTCATGGCATTTTATACTTTTCGTATGTCACAGATACATGAAAAATGTCACAACCAGCATTTCTGCGTTTTCGAACGACGAAGCGTTAACCCAGTGCCTGGAAGCCACGTTGGGATTGGCTCGGGCCTCCAACAAACTCCGCACGATCTCCACACTTTTGGGGTTTCCCCGACTCAATGCCACGGCGGAGAGCAACGGGGTGATCCCCAAGCCCTGCAGCGGCGGATTGGGATCGCAGCGGAGTTCCAAGAGCTTCTGCAAGGTTTCCAGATTGGCCATACCAGCCACCTCCGTCAGCTAAAATCCATGGGGAAAATCCATGGGAAAGTTTTCTTCCAAATTGTTGATATATGTTCAAAGTTATGAACAGTTGTTGTTTATCAAGGTTGTTTATTGTCCCATATACGGTTGTTTATTATTGTTTCTATACCATGGTGATTATATCACATATGTTGTTTGTTACTCCATAGAACAATCAACAAACAACCCTTTTGCTGTGCTTGTTTTCCAGTCACTGTCCCATTGTTTTGCTTTGGGTAGAGTCCAGAACCTATTGTAAAATCCCAATCAATATTGTTGTTCAAAAATATGTACACAATCCTTCTCAACCAACTGCTCAACCGTTTCTCAAATTACAATGTCTGGATGATGTCATAATTATATCTCCATTTACCTCGGTTAACCTCGTGTAAACTGACATAGATGTGGAAAACCCACCATTTAAGTAGATCATGTTCCAAACGGAAAGCCATGGGTTTTCCACATCGTCAGTTTATCCCCATGAAATCCCCATGAAATCCCCAATTTTCCCAGATATCCCCAGGGTATCAGTTACATCCCCGTGGGTTTTCATCGTGTCCAACTTTCGCTGCGTTCGCCGCGTTCGCCTTCGCCATGGGCACCAGGCCCAATGGCACCCCGCTGCGGTGCAGATCCGCCCGGCCACGCAGGAGCTCCGTGACGTGAGCCGCGCTCTTGGCGAAGGAACAACAGGTGGTGCCCTCCCAGGTCGAACTGTTAGCATCAAGGCCCAAGTCCAACAAGGTGCGGATCCTTTTGCAGGTGAGTTACTGAGTTCATGAATGTTTCGAAGTTCATGTGTATTTTGATGTTAGGTAACTCCATTTTAAAAAAATAGGTTGTGAGTTCGGTTTAGTGACTAGTGTATGATGATGTTAGGTAACTTCCCCAAAAAACTGGGGACTTGATGTGTTAGGATGATGTTAGGATGATGTTCATAGGGACTTAATAGGGATGATTTGGGGATTTTGGGATTTTGATTACTGGATGTTGGGTTCATGATGATCTCGGGATGTTATGTTTGGATGATGTCATGATTTGTTGACGATGAGGATGATGATGAGGAGATGAAGATGATGAAGAAGATGATGATGATGATGATCTTAGGATATTGACGATGATGTTAGGATTATTCTCCTGGCAAAAAAAAAAAAGTAGGACTTTGATGAAGAAGATCGGATACTGATGGTGTTGATTAAACTTGATGATGAATATGACTTGATGGCCCACAGGATCTGAAGTTGAGATTTGAAGAAAATGGATTTGATGACCCAAAAAGAAGGCAAATTGCTGGAAACCTACCTAGGTAAGATGGACTTGCCATTAACCCAGCTTTGCAACACAACAGCAGGTTCCAGCATTCCAGGGCCTTTCAGGGTTCCAGCGTTCTGGTTCCGTTCCGGTTTTGGGGCTCAGCAAACAAACAAAGCACCACCCATAGATTGAAACCTAAGAGTAACTCCTGCTGGGAATCATCTTTTTGGTGGATGACCCTGTCAAGGATAGAATGATAAAATGACCTTCTGATCAAAACAGCAAAGTGTTGGGATGTGCAATGAGCCCAAACAAATACCATCCACAGCAGCTCGGAAAGCTTTTTTTTCAGGAAATACCATCCGGAAATCCACCAATAAAACAGGGAGATACTCCTTTTTTAGGATGTCCAAAAAATAGCTACACAAAACAGGGAAGTGGCTGATCCATCTTCATCTTCCCCGTTCCCCTAACGCCAAACGGCCAAATGCCCTGTCGAAGGCTCATCTCGGGACACTGTCTCGACTCTAAAGCCGTCATCAACAAGTTCCAATGGTCGGGATAACCCAACTCCGCTAAGCCCTGCAAACCTGGCTGCTGGAACTGGCTGGAACTGGCTGAACCAAGGATCTAACCGATGATGGGGATAAAACCATGGGAAACCTCCAATCATTGAGCCAAAAAAATATTGAAAGCCATTGAGTCAACGTCATCCCATGTTTTATGGTTGTTCATAATTATGTTGAAAAATGTTATAACTTCATGAAACCAAGCCACTGTCGTTCACGTCGGCCTTCTTCTGCACCAAGAAACGGAGCATCTCCACATCCCCAGAGAAGGTGGCACACTGCACTGCACTCATGCTGCCCTTGTCCAAAATGGCAGCGTCCAAGTCGGGGAACTTGAAATGACGCAAGAAAGTCTCCACCTCCCAAGTCGTTGCTTCAGCCTCTCCCAACATCTTAGATCTTCGTGCCAAAAAGAATCGATACAGATTCAATGGCCCTGCTGTGGAGAGATTCTGAATCTTGTGCTCCAGAGCTACTTCACCCAATTTTTTCACCACGTGGCGATCAGATTCAACGGTAAAGTCCCCATCCACAATGGTGTTGTCCTGCGTCAATCAGAATAAGGCCCAGATTTTGCCCCCATGTTTGCAACAAAAAGAACAGCACAATCCCATTTGGGATGTTAAGCTATGTATGATTATGTATGTCTGGGTGTCAGTGTCGAGTCAGTGTGTCTACTGTTGCTAAAAGTCTGGTACATTGGTTTTCACATTCAAATACGATCATCTAAAATGCGTGGGAAACCCCCTAGCTGGGAGCTATGGACACAACTTAGATCCATCAGATATTCCCCATAAAATGTGGCATTTCCTTAACCGTTAAGTTAGGACTGATCGCTTTATGTAAAAAATCACACCCAAAATACATAGTCATCGCCGCGATCCGTTCATCCTGCCAGTCCCTGGGAAACATGAGCTGCGACTCTTTGGTGGAGTAGACCACAATGACCTGCGCAGGCAGATCTGAAACATGCTGAAACCAGTCGTGAAAAAGGGGCACCATTCGACGTTTTTTGGGATCGTTCGATTATCAAGATTCATGGATCATGATATTCCCGCAAAATGATCCCATTGGTAAGTTCGCTCGAGAAATCATTGGAACCAACCCATTCACACCTGGTTGAAGGCTTTGTTGGACAAGAGATGGCACCATAACTCTGCGCGACACCATCCTGCAGGGAGAAACATCCAATCTGGTAGCTGATTGAAGGTTCCATCCCTTGTGAGATTCTACCGAAAAAAAAATCAATGTAATCATTTATACTTTTATATCATGTGGATATATATATATTCACTGAAAAAAATGCACTTCACTCCTTCCCTTTTCATCTATCTGGCCCAAACAGTCTGTTGCTATATGAGACAACTTGTCAATTTGTCTTCGTCAAAACCATTTAACGTGTGAATATTGCCATCATGTCTGCCATGTTCTTCATTACCATTTTTGGGTTGCAAGAACTTCTTGGGATTTCAGCAAGTTGAATGCCTTGATGGTCTAGTTCTTTCCTGAAAGTGCTGTATACTCCCAAATGGCCATCAAATAGTACAGTAGGTTAATATGGAAAACAATATTCGCCATGGGATTTTGCAGTTTTCCCCTGAATTTTCAGACGAACCCAAATGGAAACACGAATTTGACCAACCCAATGGGCTTCGCAACTTGCAACGCGTGCGTTTACGCATCCCTGCGGTGTCAACTTGGTGTCCTCTGGACAGCCACGAAGCATAGTTACAAAACTTTCCAGTTGTGCAGTGTTTCACCTCAGGTACCAAGGCTAAGAAAATGTTTGACGTCTCCACATAGAAAGGAATGCTTTGAACGGCCAGCGCCGCATCGCTCTTGGTGCTTTCTTCGTTCACCCCCTCTGCGCGGGCCGTGATCTGAGGGATAGCAAACCAGTCCAAGAAGATGTAGCCCGAAAGGACTTGTTGACGAGTATACTCCACCTGAGATACACCAGAGCCCACACAAAAAAAGGTGTTCTAAAGTGTCACCAACAGGTGGCTTTCCGCCCAAAAGGCCCAAAATGGCATGTTTCTTCATCATGTTCAATGAAAAAACTGCTTCTGTATTCCCCAGTTTCAGACAAACTCCATATGTTTTACCCACTTTTCATCAGTTCCAAATTCAGAACAGTTGTGGCTAAGGCACAAAAAAAGCAAAATCGATGTCCAGGTCGTACGCCACGTCCAACTCGACTTGCAAAGATCCTGGGTGTGTCCCTCTGGTTATCGAACAGTTTGCTGTGGGAAATAACCCATTTAGTTCCATGTTTTAGCTATTAGACAAGGTGATTTTCCACATTTATGTTGGGTTACTAGAGGGTATTCGGAAGGTGGTTGACTTAGGGTTAAGATGTGTCTGGAGTACAATAGACTGCAAATATTCCAACATTCAAAATCTTCCAATGATCTTAGGATTGATTGAAAATTCAATTTTTTTGTCTATCCATCATATTCCATCAGTCTATCCCCATATTTTTTCCAGGTGAAATCACGTAGAACTCACCGAGACTCCATCCATGACTCCTTGCAGAGTGCTGCGCAACACCGCCGCGTGTCGTCCCTCTGGGTCCGGATGCACACCACCAAGCCACTGGTGTGAGACAAAAATCACCCGCATGCCTGGTTTTAATGGGAAAATCGTCCGGAAATTGGTTTTTAACAAGAAATATATGAGTTTCTTATTGGATGAACCGCTCTAGTGATCAAAGACTCAACAACTCAGAGATTCTTTTCTTTCGAACTCTTCGTTCCTGTCCGGGTCTCTTTGAAAATTTGATCCTGGGTTGATGCGCATAAATATGAATCAAGATGGACTACTGACTAATGAAGTAATATGAGCTAGATAGTATGAACTAATCGGAATAAATGAGGACTAGTGCGGCAAACACACATCAATAGTTTGATTTTCATTGTATATATATATATATATGTGTGTGTGTTTTTTCAAGCAAGCATGTTTCTACTGCGAATGCAGGGGCGTCCTCTGGATGTTCCTTTCCAATTCTGTGATTGGTTCAACCCAAAAAAAGATACGAATATATAATTCAAATCATCCCAGGTGGCTTGAAAAATCACCCCTTTATAGTTGATGTTCCCAACTTTCCCAGCTAACCATGTTTGATGACACCAGAAGGCAATCAAAATGTTTGAAACCAACCAGCCTGGCTTCCACTGATGCAGCAAACCCTTTTGAAGGAGCACATGGTGTGGTTCTGGCGCACCCTCCATCTCTAGAAAATCAGAGACCTGCTGCAGCGGGTGGTCAATAACAATGTTTATGAACTGGGTGTATGACGGGGATACGATGGGGATTTTTTGAGATATGATTGATATATAATGAAATAATATACATCCGATATCTTTCATTTGGTGGCTAGCTGGGGTTGTAAATGAGTATGAATGTAAGTTACCACCCCCATAAATCCAGACATAATGCCTGTATCTATGGCCATGTACCCGTTTAGTAGGGGGAAGTGCGCCTTCAAGTAGCCAATAAAACCAACAACGGGTAGCATCGGGTAGCGATCTTTGCACATATTCAAGTTTATCAGTGTCACAACACATATATGCTACAGACGCATTGATAAGGGGATGGTCCCTGATGATCTTTGCAATGCGACTGGGACTGGGACACGTCACATCCCAGGTGGGTTCACATGATATTTCTATTTGTCGTGTCTGATATAGTCAGATCCTATCAGATATCCCCAATATGGGTCCCCAAAATGAATAAGGCACTGGGGATCGCTAATGGCCTTGACGACATACATCGGAAAGAGGCATTGATGCACATGTTGGTGTGGAACTGATCCAGTATTGCCGTCTTCACACAGCCGAGCGTTGCAGCTCCCCATGGCTACCAGTGCGTGCAAAGCGACGCTTGAAAGCTGAAACAACTGAACCGCCTGTATGTTGCCGAAAATGTCAGTTGAGTGCACTGATGCTGGGTTTGCACACAAATAATGCATCCATATTTTGCATCCACATCTTTGTTTGACGATTGGGCCTGTGGCAAAAAATCATACCGACAGCACAGGAACAACAAGAGTCAGAAAGAGAAGAGAATCATGCAGTTTGCTGTGTTTTTAGTTGCTACAACAGCCTTCATCCGTGAAACATCTTTGTTTGGCCCAGAATTAAGGCCCTACAAGAGAAGCCGTGTGTCTGTTTCACACACAAAATCAAGCTCTTCACCTGCCATCAACTCGCCAAATTGGCGCCGTCCTCCAGAAACAGGCCAAATGCACAAAGCAGGGAAATGTCACATGGAAACCAAAGAACATGTGCGGTGATATTGAGTAAAAACATGGTTCACTTTATTTGGAGCTCAGCAAATCATTGATTCCGTGGTGCATATATTTCCAGTACGAGAAACCATGCAAGGTGGGCTTCCATGGCACCTGGCAGTTTTCAAGACTTTGGTATCCTGTGTCAGAGCAGTCTGTGGGGAGCAAAGTTTCAAAGACGTGGTTGTTTCTGACATCTGCCACTGATCTACCCCTAATGCTGGTGACAGTCCCTCAGCAACTTGTCACATGTGAGTAGCACCAGCCCAAACACTTCGGTCCTGGGCTTAACTGGGCATCACTTCGCCACTTGAAGCATCTAGAGTCCTGGCACCACGTTCAGTCAGGTTTTGTCGCTTTTCGTGGCGGACACCCCATCCAGCTCGACCCATGTCAGTCCACCATGTCGTTCATTCAAATATCCTTTCTCACTGCTGATCCCCGTTCTCAATATTGGGTGTTTTGCCCATTGTTATTGTGGATAACCTCGGCGTTTACATGTCGATTATTGTATTAGTTTGTGGTGATTTACATACTTTTGGTCATACCCCCCAACTGTTTCAGGGAGATACTTATCCATTCCTCCCCCTGTTCATTCATGGCATCCCGATCCTTTAGTTTGACTTTACCCACTGTTGGTAGGTCAGAACCGTGCCATGCGTTGGATAAGTACCAGATACGAGCTGTTACAACTGTTGCTCCAGCTGAAGCCGGTCGCCTTCGCTGTCGCACCTCCTGCTCCGCAGAGCTGGCTTCGAAAATGTAGCACCTACCAGTTGCGAAGAACGCAAAAAGCATGGGATTTCCGACTTTCGGTGAGAGCAATGTGGGGATTCTTGTTTGCTTTGTATTGATTTTTGCGAAGACGGAATGCACACAGCTTGCTGCAAACAAATGCAAACATACATACTTCTGCACGCTGACCGTTTTACTCCAATACTGGAATGTCCCATTCCAAGTCATCTACCATATCCTCTGCGCTGGTTGCGTCATTCGTTCTAAATCTTGATGATCCAGCATCGGTTCTAAATGTGTCTGCAAGCAATGACTGAATGTCTGTGAGCGTTCCGTGAACTTCTTTGAGTTCTTTCTCCAGCTTTTGCTCCACATCTGTGAGTTTTCCCTCCACATCTGTGAGTGTTCCGTGAACTTCTTTGAGTTCGTTTTCCAGTTTTTGGTCCACATCTGTGAGTGTTCCGCGAATTTCTTTGAGTTCGTTTTCCAGTTTTTGGTCCACATCTGTGAGTTTTCCCTCTACATCTTTGAGCTTTCCTCCCTGAAGAGTTGCTTGGATCTTCTTTGGTATGATTTTTCCAAGATAGTCGACCTTTCCTTGCCAATCTGGCAGATCTGATCTGTGGGTTGGTCGCAGGAACATCAAGTACCGGCCGCGAATGCGGAATTTACCATACGCTCTTTCCAATTCGGCAATGCGTGCAGCCTTTGAGCGATTCAGTCTTGAAGACATGTCTTGCTTCACCCGATCATAAGTATCAGAAATGACTGCAATCAACAAATTCAGCATTGCAATCGTGATTGCGACCGTAACTAAAATGAAGAAAAAATATAGCATTGGGTGTTGCTCGAGGTCTAGATTGTGCACTTGATAGTCATCAACTTCGAAATCTCCTAAAATTCCCATCCGGTAGACACGCTGGAGCTGATTCCATGTGTTATCATTGTGGGCTGCCAGGGAAAATGAGTGGCCCAAGCCCAGAATCACCAGTAAGAGAACCACAAAGAAACTCCACATGTCCGCGATCACTTCCCAGAGCATGCTGACATAGGCTCCAGTAGTGTCTAGACCACCCAGAAAATATAGTGCATACAGCCAGGACCAACTTGCAATGATGGGCTGCCATTGCAGCAACTCCGCGAACCAGATGCTCATGGTAACAAGGACTGGCATGAATGTTCCCGTGAAGGACCAAGAAAAAAGCAAAGACCTCAAGAACCGCTTTGCCGCCCAAAATTTTGCATCGTGTTCTTCAAGTGCCATGCTAAAAAGTTCTTTCCATTCGCGTAGGACGATCAAGACTGCCAAAACTGTGACTGCCACTTTCGGTCCCCACACTTGGACTGGAAAGCACAGGGCATCCGCCACATCTTCGTCACTATCATCTGTTGAGTTTGTATCATTTACATCGATGCAAGGGTGGTATGCTGCATCAGTGCCCTCCACTGTCACCCACGTGTAAAGTCCTTGGAAAACGCAGTAAAAAAGGAATTCGGCATAAAAATACCACCGCCATGTTTGCCACTTGAATTGTATCGCCGCCACGATGGGATCAGAAGAGAAAACGGCCACAGCATCGGGGATATCGTGTTCACATAGCTGGGCCAGGAAGTCACTGGACACGATGTGTGGCATGACGAGAATTTCCGCTGTCACTGCGATATCGTAGCCGGCACCCGTCGGCAGCTTTTCTTTGGCAAAGCCTTGTGGCCACCAGATGTGTTCAGACATGATTGGATACAACTGGATAGCTGCATTGCCCTGCTTTGGCGCCTGTTCCCCACTGTGAGGATTCGTTTCAACTGGCAAAACAAAGAGTTTCAACAGTTCGCTCAGCGGGTCGCTCAAGCTACCAAGAGTCTGATCTGCTAACATTTTTGTAATAGCTCCACTGGCAGCCGTCAGGTACTGGCACTTTGTTTGGTAGTTCAAGCCACCTTCTTGGTGGCAAAAATTCAGTGCGTGTTTGTTGATGTAGGCAGCCATCCACTGCACATTTCCACTTTCAATTGCTAGGCTCATGGGACTCATCCCTGCGGCATCGGTCCTGAACATCAGGTCCCAACCAGCTGTGGGCTTCCTTTCCACCAGTTGCAACTCCTCTTCGAGTTTTGGGTCGATCCAGCGTTTGGCTTGGAACAAACGCAGGTAGCAAAGGAGCCCCAGGACCGTCACATTCAGAATGCCCAGCAAGCAGACCGTATCGAAGCCACTATCGGGGACATGAATGGACTGCAAAAAGCAGGATTTCGTGTACGACAACGGAGGCTTCCATGAGGACCAGATTCGACAGGTCTTGTCCTCCGAGGCGGTGGCCACCTTCTGGCCATCTGGGCTCCAAGCCACTGAACGTACACACCTGCCATGCTGAAACTTTGCCTCCTCGGTCGTGGAAGCCACATCAAAGATGCGACAGGTCTTGTCCTCCGAGGCGGTGGCCACCTTCTGGCCATCTGGGCTCCAAGCCACTGAATACACACCATTGCCATGCTGAAACTTTGCCTCCTCGGTCGTGGAAGCCACATCAAAGATGCGACAGGTCTTGTCCTCCGAGGCGGTGGCCACCTTCTGGCCATCTGGGCTCCAAGCCACTGAGCGGACATAATAGCCATGCTCAAACTTTGCCTCCTCGGTCTTGGAAGCCACATCAAAGATGCGACAGGTGTTGTCATCCGAGGCAGTGGCCACCTTCTGGCCATCTGGGCTCCAAGCCACTGAATACACACAATTGCCATGCTGAAACTTTGCCTCCTCGGTCTTGGAAGCCACATCAAAGATGCGACAGGTCTTGTCATCCGAGGCAGTGGCCACCTTCTGGCCATCTGGGCTCCAAGCCACTGAATACACACAATTGCCATGCTGAAACTTTGCCTCCTCGGTCTTGGAAGCCACATCAAAGATGCGACAGGTCTTGTCATCCGAGGCAGTGGCCACCTTCTGGCCATCTGGGCTCCAAGCCGCTGAATACACACCATTGCCATGCTGAAACTTTGCCTCCTCGGTCTTGGAAGCCACATCAAAGATGCGACAGGTCTTGTCATCCGAGGCAGTGGCCACCTTCTGGCCATCTGGGCTCCAAGCCACTGAGCGGACATAATAGCCAGGCTCAAACTTTGCCTCCTCGGTCTTGGAAGCCACATCAAAGATGCGACAGGTGTTGTCCTCCGAGGCGGTGGCCACCTTCTGGCCATCTGGGCTCCAAGCCACTGAATACACACAATTGCCATGCTGAAACTTTGCCTCCTCGGTCTTGGAAGCCACATCAAAGATGCGACAGGTCTTGTCATCCGAGGCAGTGGCCACCTTCTGGCCATCTGGGCTCCAAGCCACTGAACGCACCCAACTGCGATGCTCAAACTTTGCCTCCTCGGTGTTGGAAGCCACATCAAAGATGCGACAGGTGTTGTCATCCGAGGCAGTGGCCACCTTCTGGCCATCTGGGCTCCAAACCACAGAACAGACACCATCACCATGCTCAAACTTTGCCTCCTCCCTCTGCGATAGCAACTGCAAGAGAAGTGGGATGATCGGGTCAAATTTCGGTGGTATCTCAGGTGGAGTTGCATGGTCTGCGTGGTCTGTAGGGTCTGCAGGGTCTGCAGAATTTGCAGGTGCTGGGACGATGCTTGAGAATTTCTCCGGCATCATTTCCAGAAGGTGAAACTGTGTCGTTTTGAACTGAAATCTGCAGGACAAGGCAAAACCTTTGAGTCTCAACCTCAGACAGCCGGGACAGTCAGAGCAGTTTCGACTGTGAAATCAGCAGTTCGACTTCCTCTTACCCAGAAGCATCAAGCTGAAGATGAAGAGACCACAGCACAGCCCTCTACTCGTAGCCTCTCGTTCGGTGGAGTCATTTTTT